GAAAAAAGTTGCATCCAAGATGCTGGGTGCAAGATGGAGAAATCAATTTAAGACGAATGATTCAGCTGCCAGAATATAAGTAAACGGAACCCTAATTAAAAAGGAGCTAGAAATGAAGCTGACGAGGGTCTTTACTTCCAAAAATTTAACGTAAATGCTTGTTTCATTATCAATATAATTTTCGCTTTCTTCAACGACTCTTGCAGGGCATCAACCTGATTGCTGACATCGGTGGCCAACTGGGGCTTTGGATCGGTGTATCGGTCCTGACCTGCTGCGAAGTCCTGGAACTAGTTCTGCTGCTAATACAGAGCTTGGGCAAAAGAATAACAACTCACGCTAGCAGAGTGGAAGTACGAGAATAGATTTTGATGAGAACCTCTAGAAAAGCATCAAGTTTGTTCACATCTCCTTGAAAAAAACGGTGGTTTGCACATGTTACCACGTCTTAGGACTTGTTACATCAAACTTGTGTACTTACAGCGTAATCACATAATTATCTTTTTGCAGAAAGACAAGATTATTTTTTTTAGCGTTAATTATTCACAAGGGTGCCTAGGTTTAGTATTTTAGACTAAGCAGATTTTCTTCTGAAAAGTAAGTAGTCAACGTTAAAAAAACAAAAAACAAAAAACAATAATCAATTTGCTGCGCATTTGTTTTCTTTCACTTTTTGAGATAGCTTTAGCTTTTATATCGGTTTTTACTATCTGAAGCCTACTTTGCTGCTTATCTAGCGTATTGTACGAATCATTAAGTCAAAGACAGACCATAGAAAATAGCAGCTGTCGTGAAGCTGTTCGCCATATTGGGTCATCATTCCACGCATTTAAAAGGATCTTGAGTTTAAATATGCTATAAGTCCTCCAAATTTCAATCTTAGCTTAGACACTCTGAGGCTTACAAACCCACAATTTCTAAACTATTATCACAATTATGGCCTCATATTAATTACGAGGTCAGATGCCATTTGTTACAGGACACGAGCAGGGCATGCTACATGGCAGCAGGTCCCATGCGACAAAAGTTGTACAGTCTAAATCGTCCCCCACAAAATGTAATTTTAAGGTCTCAAAGTAAGGTTACTCACCAACCAAGTACTCGCTCAGGAAAAGCTCTGCCCACTTGCATGTTGAAACTTGTAATCCTTAACTAAGAAGTCATGCGTTGAAATTAAAACTCTCAGTTTTCTACCCGGCTATATTATTATTAAACGATAACGGTTAATAAAATCACTTTGTCTATGAAAATCATATCATCTTATACCTCACTAAAATGTCAATAAACACGATTATAAGAACGTGTTTTTAAGATGTCGTGTTTTAACTGTAACAACACAACTCCGCTTTACAAGTTCTAAGGAAAGGTCCAGGAATCCCGAGTGACACTGCCGTCCCGTAGAGTTTCGGGTTCCAGTATTTAGAGCGACGTTCGTTGTAGAGTGGATCAGAATTTAAGACAAAAAAAAAAATGTTTCTACCAACAGAAAGTAACAAACCGGAATGAAGAGGGTATCGTAAGAAACTGTACGGTGGAGACTGTGATGTTTAAGGCTCCTTGAATTTATTCCAATGTATTAAGGAATTTTAAGAAAAAGACCAAAATTCCGTGTTATAGTTATCAGTAGTTCAAGGCTTTGATACTTTAAGCCGGATTTTGGTACAGCATTGAGAAGTTCGAACTGCTCCAACACAAAAGCCCTTTTATTCCTAGAAGTTGCCCCCAAACTCAGGGTTATTAGCATTGGTATGAATCACAAATTTGTCAAGTCACCACGTAGCAAGCAATTCAGATCTGCCTTTTTTATTTGCAAAATTAAGTAAGGTGGATTTGCTTATAACATTTTCAATAACATAACTTTAATTAAAAGCTTAGTTACGTCGCATTTTTTAATGTTACACAGGAGTCCTTAACATGTAATCTTTGACTTACCCTTTTTTAAACTCAGGAAAATTAAGGCATGGGTCAGCAATTATTTTCCTCAAAACAGTTAGGGGGTGGTCTACGTTCTGAGGCTTGGTTCATAACAACATAAACTTTT